CAGCACACGATAGATACTTAGGTATGTTTCGTTTATTTTCATAGAATTTGACATTTTATTGTGAGTCCAATGTTCAAAATAATGAATAGAAAAAATTACCCTGTTTTGCGCTAAAACTGATTTCTGGTTAAAGTGAGTGGCTTAAACGCACTTCCCCTTAAGGTTCAATTTAGTTTGATGCTTTTTGGAAAATTTCAAAAGCAGTTTTTTCCGACGCATTATTTCAGATTGCAAAAAGCGCGCACTATTCGATTCCTTTTGATATTTTACACAAAATGACGCAAACTTTTTGCAATCTAAAATAATGCGCCGAAAAAAAAATGCTTTTGAATTTTTTAAAAATGCAACAAAGTAAATTGAACCTTAATAACATATGTAACATAAGTTCTGAGAAAAATTCAAAACCATGCCATTTGAAATCAAACAATCAAATTTTAAAATCCTCTTCAATGTATTTTATTCTGTTTATAAACTGTTGAAAAATACATTTACAGTACACTCAATGGACCATTATCTTCGATTCAGGTTCTGGACGGTGTCTATGTCGATTTCTTTTACATTTCGCTTGATTCAATCAGCCATCTGTTGATTTTGAGCTTCCCAGCCATTGTCATACACTATACGCTTGAATACACCCGATTGGAGGCACGTTTGGCGGATTATCCTTTTCCGGTATGAATGGTATTTTTTGCTCAGTTCCAAAATGATGCACTTTCCATTCGCAAAATGTTCGTGACGAAATGCACGGCACCATTTTGGTGTTTTTTCGAGTTGTTGCTGAGTATATTTTGGTGCACGCTGACGTTTTCATAGATTACGTTGTTTAAAATCCGATTGATTGTCATGTTTAAAACGTGAAATTTTCGTGTTGATTGACCAACTTTATTTTCAGCACTTGACAGCATTTCTTTTTATTTTCCGGTTCTTTACCATCACGGCAATCTTCAAAACACGATAAATATTTAGTTAATATTGGCTTCTCTTTGAACACGCTTAGAATTTCACTTGTACTGAGCTGTTCAAAATAATTAACTTCAAAGTTTAATCCGACTAATATCTAAGAACATCCATATGAATTAAAATAGCATGTTAGGCAACAGAACTTTTGTAAAACGGTCTACACTTATTGACGACAAATAAATAAAAATAAAAAAGTTGGTGACTTGTGCACGTAAATTCAACTTGTACTTCATTTTGAATGGAAACTACTGCGCAATTTGTGTTTGACAGTTCAATAGGAGTATACATTATACAAGCTATTTTAAAACTACCCAAATTTGGGTAGAGTCCACCCAGATCGGTCAAAACTGAACCTACCCAAAAATGGGTCAACTATGTTGGGAGTGACAAGTTGACAAATTGACAACATCGACATGAATCCGATCGACTTTGTTTATTTGTCAACTTCAAGTGGGTAGCCCTGTAAATCAATGGGCGTTCATGGGTTAGCTTCTCCAAGCTTCTGGGAGGATTTTGAACCTATTCTACGAACTTTCTGGAATGAAATGAAGTTTCCAAAACTTCCAGGAAGATCATTAACAAACCGGTAAGAAGTTCCGTGAACGAAGATCTGTGAAATTCTAAGAAGTTATCTGAACTTCTGCTGTATTTCCTGAGTTTCTATGAAATTCCCTGAACTGCAACAAAGTTCGATGGATTTTACTAATTTCCTTGAATTCATATGAAGTTTAAAAAAGATCCTGTAATTGCTACGGTATACGGAAAACCTTTACAAAGTTTGCTGAACTACTATGAAGTTCACTGCATTTCTGCAAAATTCTCTAAACTTTTAAAACTTCGTTGATTTTCTGCGAAGTTTTCTTAAGTCCTAAAAAGTTTCCAGAACATTTACAGAAAAGGTTGTCAGAACTATTCCAAGTCAATTGAACTATAACGAAGTGCACTGAAGTTAAAAGAAGATCCCGATACTTTTGTGAAGTTTCCTGAAAGTTAACAAAGTTTCCTTAACGTCAACTAAGTACCCTAAACTTGTACAAAGTTCCCACTTCAATGAACTTTTCCCAAACTTTTACAAAACACCTTGAATGTCTACGAGGTTCTCAGAAGCTTTACAAAGTTCTACGAATTTCAATTCAATTGTCTAAATTTCATTTTTTCGAAATTCAATGAAGTCAAAGAAAAATCCCTGAAGATGATGTTCTCCAAATTTCAACAAAGTTCAGAAGATATATTAAATTTCTTCAACTACGAAAAAGATCCAAGTCACATAGATTGGTGAGAGAAATGAAGGAGCAACTTTTGAAAGAAGGAAAATCAATATGATGGCATATTTTATTCATGATGTCTAAAATCCCAAAACCATTGAAACACTAAAGAACTGCTCATGTTTGAAAGAAGGAAAAGTTCTTTAAAACATTGCATTTAAGTTGCTGATTAAACACTTTTGTTTCACGTAGGACTTCGTCTGTGTACATTTTTATATGGGGGTACACTTTGTGAAAACAGAAAATGGAACATGTAACAAAATTATGAAAGATTTTGAACGTTAATAACTCAGTTGCCCCTGAATCAATTTCAATAATTTTATCACCATTCGATCAGAAATATTTCTACGCATCTGTTAAATTTAAGACATCATCATTCTGCAAAATGTCACTATTGAAAACTTCACGAATGTGCAACTGTTGATATGATAATTAAAATAATTACCGCGATTGCCTGCGAAAAACGATTTCCCTAACGCAGGTGTAAAAGTTGAATTCCATCCGGTCTCACCAAACGGTGTTTATTCAATCACCGCGTGGTGAGTGGTGGTGTTCTCCAGTAAACAACAAAAGGCTCCCCACAAGCAGCTAGCTATCAAGGCTGCCCTCCACCGCTGATCGGATTCAGTTCCACTCACCGTGTGTGGTGGTGTCCGGTCGTCGGCATAATCAGAAGCAGCAGCAGCAGCAGTGCTTTCAGCGTTTGGCGTTGAACATTGTTCTCCAGTACACAACGAAAGGCTGCCTGCAAGCAGCGAGCTGCAGCCCACATGAGCATCCATAGAAGGAGGAAGAAACCGCACCGCTATTGATCGAAATCAGTAGCTCTTCGTGCGTCTCTGTGGGCCATCTATGTCAAGCGCGTCACCCTTATTCCAAACAACGTACAGCTCACCAGCCTCATCTGTGTTTAACACCCTAATAGCTCAGCATTACTCAACCATCACGACAAAACGGTCCTTTTCGGGTCGATCTTGTTTTCCGTGCTGAGCACCAATGATACCGACGCCAGGAAGGCAGCTCCCACACCTAGACCCTACCTATCGACCCATCAACTCATGAACCGGTGACCAACGGCAATCAGAGATGTTATGCCTCACAACATCCCGGTGGCGCCGACTGCACCATAAATTTGTAAGAGATTATTTTTTGGCCATTTGTCAAGGTCATCAATCGGATGTCAGTTCCCATATATGTATAATAGTATGAAGTGTGATATCCACGGCAATATTTTCAAAATTAAAAATCCAGAACTGTCACAATTATTGAAGATTCTGGGACTTGAATCCACTTTCAGGGTCTTGTACATGCAAAGAAATCAAAGATCTCACATGCGGATCAATTCTCAAAACTCGTAGACTTGAAGAAATTTACGAGATCCAAGACTAGGCATAATTAAAAATTCAAAACACCGGCTTTTTTCAAAATTAAAACATCAAAAGGATATCTAATAAATCTCTCATTTTCCCAAAATTTGCTACAAATGCTAATAATCATTACTGATCTATTGCAAACGAGATTTCAGTATTTTTGAACCACCTTATGCTCTACCTTTGCATGAAATAAAAATAAATAAAACAAGCAACGTAACGTTCATTCAATGTTTAAATCATAAAAACAATGTGAAGGACGAAATATTTCGCCATCCCTGATGTTGCGATAGTACTGCAGGAACCATCTATACGGCTCGAAAGCTCTAATTGCCATATAAAGTTATAAAATTGGAAGGTGCACGTGTTCCTACTAAACAAATCACGTTTTGATTACCGTAGAGGACAAGCACCTTCCAAAATAATGTTTTGATTGCATCACCCTGAACCGGTTTCGTCAATTTAATTGAGTTCATACTTAGCCGTGCATATACCATGTTTTGATGTCACTGTCTGTATAGAGCAAGCTATAACGGCCGATAACGGTGCATCACTTCCAATTGCCACGGCAGCGGCCTTTGTCAGCCTGCACTAATCAGCATCCGCATCGTTCCCGAAGCGATATATAAAACGATCACAAGCGGTGGATTAATCACACCAGTTGAAATCAATTCAAGAAATGACGTATTTTAGTGCCAAAATGTATGTCATTCTGACGATGCTATTAAAAATTATAGATGCATCACCGCCCATTTTACGTCAGATGGAGGGTAACCAGTATCTTGTGATGGGCACAAATGGAAACTATCGATACGGATACAACGAAGGACATTCCGCGAAATTAGAAACTCGCTCGGAGGATGGGACTGTTCGGGGATTCTATATCTTTGTGGATGCCAACAGCGACCTTCAACCAGTTCATTACCTCGCTGAGGCAAGAATAGGATTTGTCGTTGTTCCCACGATCAGTACGTCAAAAACCGAGCAGTCGACATTTCCAGAACAACATGTGAAAAGGGCATACAAGCTTTTTGTAAACAAACCTTCTTATGCCCTTTTCTCGCCACCCATATGACACCAACGCAAACCTTTAACATCACCGGATAGGGGACACTTTCCCCTTCCCGATGATATTGCTGGTTTGCGTGGGCGACCCTCGTTTGGCGAGAAAAGGGCCTACAAAGGTTTGTTTACAAAAAGCTTGTATGCCCTTTTCACATGTGGCTCTTGATTTCCTGAGAGCCGAAACGATCCAGCTTTAGATGATGAAAATGAACTGCAACGCACCGTTGATGCGTTCTTCGATCAACCTGAAAAGGTTGTCAACTAAAACAACTTTTCTCTTTTCAATGAATAAACTTGAAAGGTATGCAATCTCACTACTCTCTTTTCGGTCAAATTACAGATCACATCCCCACCCGCTTCAACATCGCCATTATGCTGTTCATGTCCTGCTTCGTGAGCTACATGTTGCGGGTCAACATGTCGGTCAACCTGCTAGCGATGATCCAGCCAACTGCGAACTTGGCACGACCCATTGCCCGCCTGTCGAACGCGACCACCTCGAACGGTACCTCTTTTGCTGCACCCGCAGACGCAGTTATGAATGTAAGTCCTCAAATACCATCATCAGCTGATGCACGACCTACATAACATTTGCCTAATGGCTTCAAATCCTAATACCATCTTTCTTTCAAACGACCTGAAAACCAGTACGGCCCCCGCTACAACTGGTCCTCGCACGATCAAAGCCTGATACTGGGTTCCTACTTCTACGGCTATCTGCTGACGTCGCTGCCGGCTGGAATCCTCGCCGAACGATTCGGACCGCGGAATTTAGTCGGCTTCACGCACGCTGTGAGCGCCTTTCTGACGGCTCTGACTCCTCTGGCGGCATCCTACGGACTGTGGTTCATCGTTGCCAATCGGGCGGCGCTGGGAATCTGCGGGGTAAGTCATCATCATGCATCAATATGTATTTGGAGTGACACCGTGCATGGCGCCAAGCACGAACGATCGCTGTTGCTAGGCGCCCATGAGCGGTGCCTCCGTCGGGGTAGAAAGAAGCAGTGAAAGTAAAACTCGTCGAAAGAAACTTTAAAGGTCAATCCCGACGTGAACGTGCAAGCGCGAAGCGGAGTGGGATTTTCAGCAGCATGAAAGAGTTAACTAGCGCTACACGTTAAGAACGGAAAACCCAAATATAGGTTTGGTTTACCCAGATTGGGCTAGACCCGAGCAGCTCAGAATGTTGGTCAAATTTGCATAACACTAACTCATATATGGATCGCATTTACCCATATTTGGGCCAAGAAATTTACCCACAATTCTGAGTTTGTCCGGTCTACGCCCAATCTTTTTGAGGAATGTGGATAAACTGATCTTAGCGTGTAGTTGATTTTTTTCATTTTGCAACAATGCCCACTTCGGTCCATGCGTGCACGCTCATGTCTGAAACAGCTTGAAGCTCAGCAAGTGCAGTGCCGGTTGAACGAGGGGACAAACCCGGCATTGGTTTATGTGCGAAAATGATTTACCGGTTGAATGGAAACACGGCATTTTGATCGGTCGGTATAAACAAAACTGTAACCAATACGTGCCGTGCATTCAAGACGCCGTATACGTCGGAATAAATCTTCATTGAAGACCTGATGTAACACTGAAACCGGTGTTTTTTTTATACTGAAGGTCAAGGGGTCATGTCAATTAAATACTCAATAAGGGGCAGTTCATAAACTACGCATGGAAGCCTAACAGTGGGCATCGTTGGGTTGCGGCAATAGGCATGAAGCCCCGTTTAGCGCCGACGGTGGAGATTGGGCCGTTCATAATCCACGTAGACCAAAATTTGATACTTTTTAACCCCTCGCTCCCCTTTTGTAGACGATAGTAGACTTTTCTGAAGCTTCCCCCACCCCCCACCGTTATTATGTTCTATTCATCATTTTGAATAGCCTTTGGCAGATAATATTATTCAAAATATTAAAAAAAAAAAATAATATTACCTTGGACTTCCGTTACAGTGAACAACACTTTGTGTAAATTAAGGTGAATCGCTGTGACATCCTTAAAGGGCGAACACGAAATTATTGCGACACATTCAACAGGGCATAACTTTTTTACCATTGGGTAAAAATCAACCAAATTTTGCACACTTTCTCATTGATGTGTATTGTGTACATGCTGTCAAACTCGAAGTCGTGTTTTTCGATTCAACGAAAATGGAGGTGAACCAACGCGAGTTGAGAGAACAAATTCTTTCCAAACACCTGGAATTTCCTGACCTGTCGCACCGGCAGTTGGGAAAAATGTTGAACATTCACCATTCAACCGTCTCCAGAGTGTTGAAGCGGTTCCAGGAGCGGTTGACGTTGGACCACGGCAAAGGAGCTGGAAGAAAACCGGGACCGGAGAACAAAAAGACGGAGGGAAAGGTGAAGCGGATAATTAAAGCAAATCCCAACGTCTCAAGCCGTGATTTGGCTAAAAAGATCGGCATGTCGCAGAGCTACGTCCAGAATGCAAAGAAGAGAGCTGGACTACATACATACAAGGTACAGAACTTCCCAAACCGCGATGAGCGGCAACAATCGACGACTAAAACTCGGGCACGGAAGCTCTACGAGAAGATGCTGACAAAATATGGCTGCTGTGTGATTGACGACGAAACGTATATAAAAGCTGATTTTAAGCAAATTCCGGGGTTGGAGTTTTTCACCGGCAAGAGCAAGTTCGATGTGGACGACAAATTTAAGAAGAAGAAAATGTCGAAGTTCGCCTCCAAATATCTCATTTGGCAGGCCATCTGCTCTTGCGGACTGAGGAGTGAGCCTTTCGTGACAAAGGGCACAGTAAATGGCGAGATCTACAAATCTGAGTGCCTCGAGAAGCGCCTTTTGCCGTTCTTGCAGCAGCACGACGAAGCTCCGCTATTTTGGCCAGATTTGGCATCATGCCACTATTCTAAAAGTGTCCTGGAGTGGCATGAGGCCAATTCTGTCCATTTTGTTCCAAAGGACATGAATCCGCCAAACTGTCCGGAGCTGCACCCGGTGGAGCAGTACTGGGCAATAATGAAGCGGGAACTTCGGAAGAGCAAAAAGACAGTCAAAGACGAGAAGGACATGTTAAGAAAATGGAAAAAAAAACTGAGAAACTGGTACCGGATGACACTGTAAAGACTTTGATGGAGGGCATCAAGCGAAAATGCGTTCAATTTTACACTCAAGGCTCCATCGATTAACTTTTCTTTTGATTTTTGAAGTAAATATATGTATAAAACTACCCTAAAATTTTGGTTTGATTCTTAACATTATAAGAAAATTGGCATGACATTTTCGGTGTCGCAATAATTTCGTGTTCGCCCTTTACTGGAATAAGTTGCAAACAAGTTATCACGACTTTTCAGTGACAAGTGTGCTGCTAGGGAAGCTACTAGAGAGAAGCTTTTCGAAGAAACTTCTAAAATAAGCGTAAAGTCATGAAGCTTCTAGAAGATTTTCTAGAAGCGTCCAGAACAAAGCTTCCAGAAATAGGGTTCTAGAAGAATCTTCTAGAAGAAAGAAGGTACCAGAACAAACATAAGCTTCCTGAACGAACCTTCTAAAAATAAGAATAAGCTTCCATCCAGAAAGAAGTTTGTATATCAAGGTTGTGTAAGGGGCCTCCAGAAAGAAGTAAAAGAAGCTTCCAGAAATAAATTTCAAGAAGAAGCTTCCAGAAAGATACTTCTAGAAGGAGCTTCCAGAAATAAGTGAACTACACTTCCATAATGAAATAGAAGAGACTTCCAGACGTAGAAGGAACTTTCATAAAGATGAATTTCAAAAAAGAAGTTTCCAGAAGACTCTTCTAAAAGAGCTTCCAGAAAGAAGTAGAAGGAACTTGTAAGTTTTTAGAAGAAACATCCAGAAAGAAACTTCTAGAAGGTGCTTCCAGAAAGAAGGAGGCGAAAATTGTAGAAAAAGTAGAAGAAAGTTCCAGAAAGAAGTTTCATGAAGACCCTTTTAAAAAAACCGTCTCGAAAGAAGCATCTAGAAGGAGCATCCATATGGAAACTTCAAGAAGGAGCATCCAGAAAGAAGCTGCTAGAACATATTTCAAAAATAAGCTTCCAGAACTAAGCTTATCTTTTGAGCTCTTCTCTAAGCTTATCTTTTGACAGATACGCGTATTTCGTCTACTACTTGCAGGCTTCATCAGTGCCAAGTACGTGGCAACAAGTAGTTTTGAGTACTTGACACTGATGAAGTCTGCAACTAGTAGACGAAATACGCGTATCTGTCAAAAGATAAGCAATTATAACGGAATTATAAGGAAATCAACCAACACACTCAAAGCTCTTCAATAAGTTTCTAAAAGACGCTTCCAGAAAGAATCGTCTAGAAGGAGCTTCCAGAAAAAGTAGACTAAACATCCAGAAAGAAGTAGAAGAAACTTCCAGAGAGACGTAGAAGAAAATTTGAGAAAGAAGAAGAAGAAATTTCCAGCAAGAAGTTTCTAGAAGACTCTTCTAAAAGAGCATCCAGAAAGAAGTAGAAGAAAATTCCAGAAAGAAGCTTCTAGAAGGAGCATCCAGAACGAAGCATCTAGAAGAAAGAAGCCACTAGAATAAACTTTAAAAATAAGCTTCCAGAATGAAGCTTCTATAAGAAGTTCCTTTGAGAAGCATTTAGAAAGATGATTCTAGAAGAATCTAAAAAGTAGCGCTTCGAATGAAGCTTCTAGAACGAAGCTTCTTGAAAGAAGAATAAGCTTCCATAAAGAAGCTTCTATTAGAAGCTTCCAGAAAGAAGTAGAAGAAGTTTCTAGAAGGAGCTTCCATAAAGAAATTTCATGAAAAAAAAAACTTCTTGAAAGAAGTAGAACAAATTATAAGAAAGAAGTAGTAGAAACTTCTTGAAAAGTTATTGATGTCCAGGCCAAATTTTTTAAAAAACATTTCTGTCCCGACCTTCTCCAATTTGTATAAAACTATGCATGATTGTTTATTATGGTCAATCAATCACATTTGAGCTCAAATTGGAGAAGGTCGAGTCAGATCGATTCGTCATTTGGCGTACGAAACAAAAATAATTCGTCGTTCATAAGTCAGAAGATTGAACTACGTGTGGTTAAATCTACGATTCTGTCTACACATTGATATGACTATTAGGCATCTTGTTGCGATGAAGCAGACTGGAAAGTAAACCTGATAAAATTTGGGAAATTATTATTTGATCGAATGCCTACGATGCCGAAATATCATATTCATACACCTTGATCAACCAATCTTAATCTGAAGTTGAAAAAATGAATACTTCCACGACGAACAGGGGAAATGTTCCATCATTGAACGTACATAGTCTCACAACCACATTGATTGGCCATACTAACCACCGACAGCGTTACATAATCATACTGATATTAAAATCCCGCTTCCACAGGGCGTCCTCTACCCGGCTCTGCACAATCTCGTTTCCCATTGGGCCCCACCGGACGAGAAAGGCAAATTCATTTCCGCCTTGATGGGAGGCACCTTCGGAACCGTCGTCACATGGCCCCTGGTTGGAGTGTTGATCGAAACTCTCGGATGGTCCTTCGCCTTCTACATCCCGGCCGTGATAAGCGCCATCGTCGGTGCCTTTTGGCTGATAATAGTAGCCGATTCCCCTGCCAAACATCCACGCATCGGAAAGGAAGAGCAGGACTACATCGAAAAGTCCCTCGGTGATACCATCTCCAAGCAGAATCTGCTTCCGCCGATGAGGAAAATGATGACGTCGGTACCATTCCTTTCCCTCCTGGTGCTACACTTTGGCAATCTCTGGGGACTGTACTTCCTCCTGACGGCAGCGCCCAAGTTTATGAGTGAGGTATGTATTATCGAAACGCTATTAGGCTATGACGCAAGAGGGAATTAACCATCATTATTAACAGGTTCTTGGATTCAAACTGGCCAAAGCTGGTTTCCTCGCAGCTCTTCCGTACCTTGCCCGAGCCCTGGCTGCATTTGGATTTGGAAGCATCGGCGATTACCTGAGAAAGAAATCGTTCTTCACTGTTACCACAATTCGCAAATCATTCTGTCTGTTCTGTGAGTATTCATTCGCAATTCGCAAGATCCTCCCAGCTAGATCCCACCGCATGACGACGGCCCTAATAGAACTTGTATGGTTATGTTGCTTAACATCGTGTTAAGGGTATCATCCAAACCATTTGTGGAATAGTTCCAATAGGTCATCGTTCGGGAATGGTATTTTCTATTATTAGGGATATAAAGGTGGTTGAACTTGTCTTAAACTTTCCTTCCTTCAAATCATTCATAGTGTCAATGAGTCAAATCATCGGAACTTGATTTGATAATGATCACGTGATAAACAATCTCATTTTTTGCGAAAGGTGTACAGCGAAACCCCTCTCCCCAGTGCGCTCATTTCGCAATCATTTTTTTTACTGCCAGCTGCCTCAGCTGAGAGAAGCAAGGAATGGCCGGAATGCAAACAAACGACAATTGCTAAGCAAAAAGAAAACCAAAGCGTGAAAGAAATACCGTTCGCAGTGGAATATTACCGGGTCGGAGCACGCTTGTATCTGGGCTAAAAAGCAAATCATCGTAGCCAAAACAAAACTGCAAAAACATCCGACCACCCTGGGACCCCGTGTTGGGGTCCCCCACCTCCCTTTCCAATGTTACCTTCTCTAGCCTAGTAGGTAGGTACCGAGTGGAAGCAGCAGCAATGGATTGGCAAATGAGACGCGAATGCAGAAAGAGCAAAACGCCGATAGATATAAGAGCGAATCGCCTCTACTGCCCTCACCATGGGACTGGTCGATGTAGAAAACAGCAACGGCAGCTCGTTGACCGTGGTCAGAAGAGAAGATCTCCCAGTCTCTGAGTGATCGGTGTATATTTATAGATGAATTGACTCTGTGCTCAAGTGGGTTGTGAGTGGTGTGGTTGCCATGCCAAATATTGTTGTAACTTTATTTATAGCGTATATGTGATTTTGGTTTTGACCGCGACAATTCTCGGCTGTGCTGAAACCAATTGAGCTGAGCTCAGCTGAGATTTTGGAATGTGATCAGTATCAACCATCATCAACAGAAAATTAGCTCAACTGGTTAGAGGATAGCCGGGACCGCTATTTCCATGGCACCAACCACCGCGCTATTCGGAGGATTCCTGTACTCCAAACTGCTGGTTTTGCTAGTTTTGAGACGGTGAAAGGAGATGGGGAATCCCTCGACCAGCAGCCGGTTCAGATGCGTGCTCGGTGCCGATGTCCAGTATGAACTTGAAAAGATTCGAATGTTCACGAAGCGACGAACTCGAATGCCGAATGTGATGTAGGCGAGAATAACTATATCTCATGGAAAGTTCCATTGCTTTTTTCACTTTGTCTGCAATCTTGGGGGCTACCCTACCAAATGAGAGCTAAGGCTGTTACCAAAAAAGTTTTCTATAGCGGCAACTCTGAAAAGCGTGAGTGAGAGGTGGCACCGACGAGATTTTTGAATAAAATCGATTTTTCATAGTCATTGCTGAAAAAAGATTACATACACATTCCTATGAGGAAAATTTGTCACAATCTGCTAGATACTCCAATTGTTCATAACGTCTTTTTTTTTTAATTCTCGTAAATCGCGATTTTTTAGGTCATCATCGTCATCAAAAGTGGGTATCAAAATAAGACCTAGCATCAATTTAATACAGCTCATGTACATATTTTTTTCTGAATTTTACTGGTGACGTAAACACCGATGCATGCAAACGTTCCTGCATGTAATCTTTCAACTAGCAACTTGCAGGAAATGTTGATTACAAACATGGAAGAGATGGAATATCTCATAAATTGACGCGATCTATAATGTAAACTTGAATGACATATGACGGTCCGTTTATGTGCATCATAGTAACATAAATTTACACTACTTTTTCAAACTGTTATATTCTGAATAACTTTGGCAGAAAAAGTATACGTCTATTGTTGGTCGTTATAAAGCTATTCATGATTTTGTGGAGAAAGGATAGTCATATTTTTGCGGATTTCCTTTAATTTACACAACAAAAAATTAATTTTAATATCACATCAAAGTAGATGCACTACAATCGTGTCGAAAATATGGTGTAATATTACGTGCCAAAAAGGACAAAATTATCATTAATACAGTGCATGAACTGAAATTACGCTGCTCTTGCTGCATTTGTTTATTTTTGTGTCCATAAAAATTACATGAGATTTTCTACATGATTGAAGTCCATCCTCTTTGATGTAATATTAAAATTTATGTTTTGCTGTGTAGGGGAAATGGATGTAATATCAGCCTGAATGCCCCTAATTTGGTCCCATACATAAATTCAGCAATCGACTAAATTTTCAATAGCTACCAAAAATATGCATTGGTACCCAATGACGCGTTCATCTAGATAAAATTGATAAATAGTAGATTTTTAGCGATGAGCCCAATCTTAGATCCATAAGCCATCATTATAGTCATTTCCCCTATATATTCGCAATGTCATACAAAATCGGTCAATAAATGGGAGTAATTTGGAAAATTTATCAAATAAATAAATTTAAAAAGCACCTTTAAGCAGTTATTCAGATATCAAGTATTTTGCAAGCGTGGATTCGGATCCCATCATCGTCGCCAAATTTTTAGAATAGATTTTGGAATAATCTGTTAACTGAAAAGAACAACTAATACAACAACAGGAGCAAGGAAGCAAAAATATCTCCAATGACAAAATGACAAGCGATCAACGAACCGAATAATGATATAATCTTCTTCATTCCTTTTCATGACAAGCAGACCGTGCAACACAACTCACTCAGGGCGGTAGAAGGAAAAGATCAAATTGTTGGCAAGCTGCTTCACGAAGCAAAGCCGAAGATGATACACGTGTGTTAATGAGATTTTTTTTGTTATATCTTTTTTCGATTCAGATCATGCTATGTCCTCATCCGTGTATATTGCATCAAAGCAGGCAAGCAATATATCATTATCCTTCTACCACTCCGATCGAGCTGTGTTGCAGTGAGAGTTTGTCGTGGTAGTCGTGCACACTAGAAAAAAATGTAAATTTCAGTGCCCTGAGACCGACACATACAAGCGGCCCTTTTGACATAAGAATCAGTTAAAAAGGACGGGAAAATCAATTCAATCAAACGCACTTTTCGTCGAGTTGTCTATGTTTCAGTTTCAGGACTCTTAATTTTACATGCCATTTTTGTTTACGTTCCATGATTTACGTCAAAGCTGAATTACGTCTCGTGTGTAGCAAGAGTTTTGTCCGTATCGTTGGTTGCTTTATGTGTTTGGATTCGCTGAACAGGAGTAATCTCTTTAGCCTCCCTATTGGTGTATGGCTCAAGATCGAATACAATGTGGTGAATATCTTTACACTGAACAGTATCTCACATCTGATTTCAACTTAATCGAACATCTTAACGATAGACAAGAATATAAAATTTAAAAAATTCTACATAAACATCAGTGTTAAGCTAAAACTTGTTCAAGACTCACTGGCGTGCACAGGGTGGGGCAATATTTTTATAAGATTTTTATTTCCACATTTTCGAAGTTATGATAAAAAATATCTAGATTTATTGATAACTTGATTTGAAGTTAAAATTGAAACCCTTTTATTGCGACAATTCCTTTGAGATGGTGCTTGAAAATTTCACCACTAAGGTGCATGAAGAGACAAACTTCAATGAAATTTTTTGGCCAAAAAATTGCACCACATTGGTGAATACAAAAAAATTCTGGTGCAATTTTTTTTTTCTAGGTTGTTCATGGAGCGTTGAAAGAAAAGCGTAAATTTGAGATTAAAAAAATTCACCTTCGTTGTGGTAAATCGAAGAAAAAGCTTTTTATTGAATATTTCTGGTGTAACAATGTCATCAAGGAGGGACTTAACAAAATGAATAACTCTGGTTCTAAAATTGAATCGCGCTAAAAATTTGAAGATGCAGATTTAACTGAAAATTTATGGTGGAAAGTTCGCAACACTGTGGTGAATATAAAAGCAAGGTTTATTATTTTTTTCTGGTGCATAATTTGCATCGTTCTGATGAATGCAAGCTTCATTGAAAATTTATGGTGGAAAATTTGCCCCATTCTGCATGAAGAGGCAAAGCCTGAAAATTGCACCACAAAGGTGCATGGTGAAACAAACTTCACTGACAATGTTTGGTGCACCATTCTGGTGAATGGAGGAGCATGCTCTATTGAAAATTTCTGGTGCGAAATTTGCATCGCTTTGATAAATGAAATGAACAGAAAATTTCTGGTGGAAAATTTGCACTAGTCTGGTAAATGAAGGCACAAGCTTTACTTAAAATTAAGCTAAATTTAAAATTTCTGGTGGAAAATCTGCACTGTTCTGGTGAACGGAAGGGCAACCTTTTTGAAAATTTTTGGTGTTAATTGCTGAATAGAGAAACAAATTTTAATAATAATTTCTGGTGTAAAATTTGCACCATTCTGATGATTGAAGGGATGCTGCTTTACTGAAAATTGATGATGAAAAATATGAAAATAGGGGCAAGCTTTATTTGAAAATGTCTGGTGGAAATGGAAAAAGGAAATCGGCACCAATCAGAAGATTGGAGAAGCAATTTTAATTGAACATCAAAGGTGGAAAATTTACATCGTTCTGGTCAATTCAAATTTTCTGGTTTAAAATTTTCTGGGGGCAAGTTTGTATTGAAAATTTCTGGTGTATGATTTGCAACATTCTGCTGCATGGAGGGGCAAGCTGAATTAAAAATTCCTGATCTAAAAATTGTACAGTTTTGGTGAATGGAGGGGCAAGATTTATTAAACATTTCTGGTAGAAAAACTACAACGTTTTGGTGAATGGACGGACAAATTAAACTTGATTCCCGAGTAGAACGTAGAGGGTATTGAATTCTGAAGACAGTTCCTAAAGAAAAGATTTCTGGGGATAATTTCATGAAAATTCTGCGAATAATTTCTAGTGAATCTTGCAGATAGTTCCAAGATAATTTCGAAAAGAATACAGAGAGAATCAAATTTTGAATGAAATTCCAAAGAAAATTTCAAGGGAATTCCGAGGATAATTTT